TTGAAAGGTACGTAAGCTCCTTTAAATACCTCAGTTCTTTTTATGTACCATGTGTCTTTTTTGTGTCTGAATAAATTATATGATTGGTAAATAATTATTGGCAAACCCTACACAATTTTTGAAAAACGTATATTCTATTGTGTTTTGTATTTACAATAATGCTATTTTCATGGAAAAAATATAGAAAATAAAAAAATAGCTTTTCTTTTCAAACTGCTGCGCTGTAAATTTCTGTAAAATTCAAAGCAATATGGCAGTGTGGTGACATTCTGTATACGGAATGCCTCCAAAAATGTCATTTTCTTCTTGGGTAAAGATACAAGTCAAGTTTTAGGCATCCTCTGAAACATAAATTTCATTTTAGTGAGACTGTCCCTAAAGGTAATCACTTCCAGAGAGGATGCAGGCACTGCAACTATTCTCATCATAACGCTGAAACTGCATCAGCTAATTAAAATTAATTAGTCACTCCATTTCAGAATCACTCTGCATAGGATATTATCTAATAAAGAGTTAATTGTTCAGAGCAGAAACAGGTAGGAATCTGCAACAATGTTTGTTAAAATCCTTGCAGTATACATTGATCATCCAGAGGGGATTTTTTTTTCGCAACAAACGTTTAGCAGGAGCTTCTTTTAGATGACAAGCTGCGCGTAATGCAACACATAATGTAATTTGTAATTTTTGCAGGAAGAATTGTGGCATTTCTCCCAGAGATTGCAAAGACCCAGACGTGAACAGAGCCTAAATATTCAGAACTGGATGGAAAACCAAAAATTGCAAACCAAAAAAAAAATTTCAAGTAAACTTCCTTCATCAGGGTTTTAAGAATCCTGGGGTTATTACAAAGGTTATATAGTACTACTTGTGCTCAGGTATCAAATCATATCAACAGCTAGCATGATTTGTTGACAGCAAATCTTAAAACATATTATAAAAGTCCAAAATAAAGTCTAAGGAAGGATATACCATTCCTTGGAATTTATTTTGGACTTTTATAATATTTTACGTTTATTGTGTTGTTGTTATCATACCTGAAGTGCTACACTTTTTTTCTTTGTATATTACAAGGGTTGTTAGGAGCTCCTTGAGCAGGGAGTAATTTCTGCCTCTTAGATAAGCGACCAGTGGCACCAGTGATCTTTTAGGATGTTTACAACAGAGCATTTTTTCCACAGACTACCAATGTATTCTTTCCACTGACCACCAGTATAAGCAAGCCCTTTATCCACTGACCACTAATGCAATGGTCAATTTTCCACCGATCACATTGTAAGAGGACATGTTTGTCAAATATGCAAGTATGGCACATTCCTTATTTGTTTATTCCTACATCTACAATTTACTGTTCAAACTAATGTACCTTGGGATGTTGATATAATATTTATTTGCAAGGAGTCCTCCATGTTAAAAAGGTTGAGAAAGGCTGGGTTGGAGGAATGTGTTATAGACCAAATCAAGGAGCTAAACTTCCAGAAAGGAATACTGAAACCATTATGGTGTTGCAATGAATTAATTTTTCTTTACTATAATGCTTTGTAAAGTACTTGAAAATTTAAACTATGGCTGTAAAGCAAAATTAAATTATATTGTATATCAGAATCCATGTTAATGTTTAATTACATTGTATATCAAAGTATCTAATTAACAAGCAACAGTTCTATATATGTTTTAGTTGGATGCAGATAGTGATTTACTACTACAAAAGTAGATGTGTTCACCTGGGAGCATACATGAATTATTAATTTAAATACACTTTAAATAAATTTAAAATATATGAAATACATAACAAGTTTTTAAAATACATCCTGATGATACATTAATAGAAGAAGTACTTTTGTGAGGATAAATTAATATTAGCAGACATTACTAATTGGTGGTTGCATAAAGGGAATCTATTTGGTAATTTCAGTGAAAATTGTTTTGAAAATAGTTTGTCATTTTATATTTTATCCTTTCAAGAAAAGCATTTCTTGAATGTCAACAGATGTACAGTATATATGTGAGACAAACATATTTGTTTACTGTACATTATTTTTCCTGTTCCTTAGCACAGTTGATGTACAGTATCTTATTCTGCCTATTTTGATGAAAATCTATGGGTAGCCTTAACTATATTAAAAATTATTATCTGGAACACACTACTTTCTATAGTTTCATGTTCTTTAATTGGATTTTTTCATGTAGCTTTTCAGTAAGGATCTTTCTGATAAAACCCTCTGAGCCTGGCTTTTATTAAAGGGGAAAGATAATATTGCCTCTGGCAACCACAATATACCAGCTTGTTATAACCTGCAATCATTCTCAGATGTTATAGAAAAAAAAGAAAGGCATTTTCTATTTTATTTCTTTTTTCTTTTCTCTATTGTGCTTCTGAAGTGTCATTGCAGTGTCTTGGAGAAGCTTTTGCTATCTGTGGTTTATTAACTGGCTGCTGGATGGGTGTGTGTAGTCTAAAGATTTGAAAAGATCCCCTCCCTTCTTCTAGAACTAGTACTTCCCCCCTTCCATTCCCCCTACATTTTCTTTCTTTCTTTTCTGTATGCTGTTCTTTTTCGCTGCCTTTACCCCATTTTGTAAAATTGGGTGGGCATTGGTAACCAAACTAGTTTGTAGCAGCCACAGAACTTTACATACCACATGGCCAGGTACTTAAAGCGGTAGTAAACTGCACCTAAAAAAAAAAAAAAAAAAAATAATCCCTTGCAAGGTAATGCCATGCATCGCATACTAGAACATTATGAAGTACTTACCCTAAAATGAAGCCCTCCAGCGGCGCACTGTCACCACTGCAGGGGTTTCCATCTTCACCCTATCTCCCTTCCGGCCATCTGACTGGCTGAGCCATCATGACGTCACTCCTGTGCATGCGCATGGGAGTCCCAGGATGCGGCACAGTGCTCTGAAGGAACTGCATGGGTATGCTGTTCCTTCAGAGCGCATGCGCTGGCTGTCAAAAAGGGAGAATATCTCCTAAACGGGCGTTTAGGAGATATTCATTTTTACCAGATAATATTTATTATAAGCCTACCTATAGGTAAAAGTATACAAAAAGAGTTTACTACCATTTTAATTCCTTGTTACCACAAGGTTTGCTATTCAGTACTCTGATGGTTGTGCTTTGAGGTGACTGGTCCTAATGTCAATGCTGTGTTCTTTGGATATGTTGACTTGGTGTATATTCATTCCTCAGCTGTGCCTAAGTTGCCATGTTCTGAGACTTGGTTTGTTAAACTTTGCCTTTCCATAAATAAAGAACTTAAAAAAACTGTGCTGAATAGGTTAAAGGGAAAGTACTTCTCTGTCCATCAACAGAATGGGAAAAAAAAACTTTGTGATTGTCATGGCAACAGGCACGTTGGTTATTGTGAGTCACAGGGGAGCGGAGTACTGAGGGGAGAAGATTATCCATGACAATCTACAGAAAGAGCCTTCCGCCTTAATATCTCTTGCTGAACTCTCAGTAACATGGAGACACGAAGACAGGGAGTTCTTTGCTGTTTGTTCCATATCCACATATTTATTTTTATTTCCTTATATACACATTTTATTAATTTAGTGCTGGTTTGCATTCATGTGGTGTGGGATTTGCAGCGATTCCTGTGCATTTCCCACACCGCATCACAATCGCACTCCATTCATGCGAGCCGCTGCAGGTGTCAATGTTAAGTTAACGACAGGTCACAAAATGCAGTGCGATTGGCTGAAATGGATCGCAAGGGTGTTCACACCCATGTGATCCAATTCCGGTGCAGCAATAAAAAGGCACCTGCACTTTTTTTTGTGGAGTTCAGTGCAATCTGAGCCATACAAAATGAATGGGCTCAAATCGCACAACGGAGAAATGAAAGTGATTTGAACAGGAATGTGGTGCGATTCGTGTCTGAATCACATGCGGTTCCTCGCACTGCATCAGTGTGAACCAGCACTAAGTACAGCGTTGTGATCTCTGCTCTAAATTCACAGGAAGCAAAAAAACAGAAGACCCTTAGTACTGGTTCACACTGATGTGATGCGGGATGTGCAGTAATTCCTGTGCTATTCCAGCACCATCAAACTCCATTCTTGCGAGCCACTGCAGGCGTGTGGATGTTAAGTTAACGACACCCCAAAAACAGTTCGCAAAATGCAGTGTGATTGGCTGAAATGCAGTGTGATTGGCTGAAATGGATCACATGGGTGTGAACATCATGTGCAAAGAATCGCATTTGATTTGAACAGAAATGTGGTGCGATTCCTGTCAGAATCACATACAGTTTCCTGCACCGCATCAGTGTGAACCAACACTTAGCAGAATTCCAGTTACTGTATGTTCCCCTGTGCATGGGCTTCTGGAAAGTAGACTTGCATTCCTAGTAGCAGGTATTGATGGTCAGAATACATTCAGTGATTAAATAGATTAAATACAATAATGTTATTAGAGAAAAAAAGACTGTAATTATAACAATATACACTATATTGCCAAAAGTATTGGGACGCCTGCTTTTACACGTACATGAACTTTAATGGCATCCCAGTCTTAGTCCATAGGGTTCAGTATTGAGTTGGCCCACCCTTTGCAGCTATAACAGCTTCAACTCTTCTGGGAAGGCTGTCCACAAGGTTTAGGAGTGTGTCTATGGGAATGTTTGACCATTCTTCCAGAAGTGCATTTGTGAGGTCAGGCACTGATGTCAGAAGAGAAGGCCTGGCTCGCAGTCTCTGCTCTAATTCATTCCAAAGGTGTTCGGGTTGAGATCAGGACTCTGTGCAGTTCAGTCAAGTTCCTCCACCCCAAACTTGCTCATCCATGTCTTTATGGACCTTGCTTTGTGCACTGGTGTGCAGTCATGTTAGAACAGGAAGGGGCCATCCCCAAACTGTTCCAACAAGTTGGGAGCATGAAATTGTCCAAAATGTCTTAGTATGCTGATGTCTTAAGAGTTCTCTTCACTGGAACTAAGGGGCCAAGCCTAAACCCTGAAAAACAACCCCACACCATAATCCCCCTGCGCCAAACTTTACACTTAACACAATGCAGTCAGGCAAGTACCGTTCTCCTGGCAACCTCCAAACTCAGACACATCCATTGGATTGCCAGACAGAGAAGCGTGATTTTTCACTCCGGAGAACACGTCTCAACTGCTCTAGAGTCCAGTGGCAGCGTGCTTTACACCACTGCATCCAACGCTTTGCATTGCATTTGGTGATGTAAGTCTTGGATGCAGCTGCTCAGCCATGGAAACCTATTTCATGAAGCTCTCTACGCACTGTTGTTGTGCTAAGCTGAAGGCCACATGACTTTTGGAGGTCTTTAGCTATTGACTCTGCAGACAGTTGGCTACTTCTGCACACTGTGTGCTTCAGCATGCGCTGATCCTGCTCAGTCATTTTACGTGGCCTACCACTTAGCGGCTGAGCTGCTGCTTTTCCCAGTTGCTTCCACTTTGTTATAATATCACTAACAGTTGACTGTGGAATATTTAGTAGCAAGGAAATGTCACGGATGGAGTTATTGCACAGGTGGCAACCTATCACAGTACCACGCTTGAATTCACTGAGCTCCTGAGAGTGACCCATTCTTTCAAAAATGTGTGTAGAAGCAGCCTGCATACCTAGGTGCTTGATTTTATACACCTGTGGCCATGGAGGTGATTGGAACACCTGAATACAATGATTTAGAGGGGTGTCCCAATACTTTTGGCAACATAGTGTATCATTGTTAATAGGTTTTCATAGCTCATACTTTGAAGAGTTAGAAATTAATGTCAGGAAAAGAGAAAATTTTAGGGGAAAAAAGGTCATTTATGCTAATCTTTTATTAGCACTGTGACACAAGGCTGTTGTGTTTGATAATTTACATGATATATTGAGGGTTTTTGTGTGCGCCATAATGCACTGACACCTCCTGACACTGGTCCTGTACTGCAGTGGCAGAGTGGCAGCGGGGTGACCACTACTAGAACTCTCTCTGTGTTCCAGCACCCAGGAACCCAGGACTGAAAGACGTGTCTCTCCAGGGTCCAATCAGATGCTGGCAGAGGGAGGCAAGTGTACGCAGCTCTGTGCCGCAAGGCATCTTATTGCATTGCTCTGTGATGGGAGTCTGCGGTTGCCAGGAAACCTGGACTTGACAGCAGACTGTCTGACCCAGAATGAGCGCTGGGTGGATGAGGGAGCTGGGACTGCAGCAGTACTCACAGGGTTGACGAGCTGCTTGTTTCCTTTGCAGTCAGGCTGAGATACTATGCCACTTTTACCTGTGAATGATCTTACAGTCTGTTTGCAAGCAAGTGTTTATGGACTGCAGGGAGAGGATCATCCCTCTAAAAAACATATTATAACAGAGGTTGCTGTCTATCCCAGGCTATGTGGAACATATTTACAGTGACTGATTTGAGAATGCATATGGAAAATAGAGAAAATTTGCAGCTGTGTGATTTGGAGATTTTATTGATTGGTGCTTCTGCTACAGTGATTTGGTGAAGTACATTCTGGACACTGGAATGTTGATAATGTGCAAAATTCATAACTCTTTATTACATATAGGTGAAACTCGAAAAATTTGAATATCATGCAAAAGTTCATTTATTTCAGTAATGCAACTTAAAAGGTGAAACTAATATATGAGATAGACTCATTACATGCAAAGCAAGATAGTTCAACATGTGATTTGTCATAATTGTGATGATTATGGCTTACAGCTCATGAAAACCCCAAATCCACAATCTCAGAAAATTAGAATTTTACATGCAATCAATAAAACAAGGATTGTACATAGAACAATATCGGACCTCTGAAAAGTATAAGCATGCATATGTACTCAGTACTTGGTTTGGGCCCCTTTTGCAGCAATTACTGCCTCAATGCGGCGTGGCATGGAAGGCATCAGCCTGTGGCACTGCTGAGGAGTTATGGAAGACCAGGATGCTTCAATAGCGGCCTTCAGCTCTTCTGCATTGTTCAGTCTCATGTCTCTCATCTTTCTCTTGGCAATGCCCCATAGATTCTCTATGGAGTTCAGGTCAGGCGAGTTTGCTGGCCACTCAAGCACAGTAATCCCACGGTCATTGATCCAGGTTTTGGTGCTTTTGGCAGTGTGGGCAGGTGCCAAGTCCTGCTGGAAAATGAAGTCAGCATCCCCATAAAGCTGGTCTGTGGAAGGAAGCATGAAGTGCTCCAAAATCTCCTGGTAGACGGCTGCGTTGATCCTGGACTTAATGAAGCACAGTGGACCAACACCAGCAGATGACATGGCTCCCCAAATCAACACAGACTGTGGAAACTTCACACTGCACTTCAAGCATCTTGCAGTGTGTGCCTCTCCATTCTTCCTCCATACTCTGGGTCCTTGGTTTCCAAATGAGATGCAAACATTGCTCTCATCAGAAAAGAGGACTTTGGACCACTGAGCAACAGACCAGGTCTGTTTTTCTTTAGCCCAGGTGAGACGCTTCTGACATTATTTGTTGTTCAGGAGTGGCTTGACAAGAGGAATACGACATTTGAAGCCCATGTCCAGGATCCATCTGTGTGTGGTGGGTCTTGATGCACTGACTCCAGCCTCAGTCCACTCCTTGTGAAAGTCCACAACACTTTTAAATGGCCTTTTCCTGACAATCCTCTCCAGGCTGTGGTCATCCCTGCTGCTTGTGCACCTTTTTCTTCCACACTTTTCCCTTCCACATAACTTTCTATTAATGTGCTTTGATACAGCACTTTGGGAACATCCAACTTCTTTTGCAATTACCTTTTGAGGCTTTCCCTCCTTATGGAGGGTGTCAATGATGGTTTTCTGCACAACTGTCAGGTCAGCAGTCTTTCCCATGATTGTGATTCCTACTGAACCAGACTGAGAGACCATTTAAAGGCTCAGGAACCCTTTGTAGGAGTTATGGCTTAATTAGCTGATTAGAGTGGAACACTTTGAGCCTAGAATATTGCACCTTTTCACAATATTCTAATTTTCTGAGATTGTGAATTTTGGGTTTTCATGAGCTGTAACCCATAATCATCACAACTATGACTAATCACGGCTTGAACCATCTTGCTTTGCATGTAATGAGTCTATCTCATATATTAGTAACATCTTTTAAGTTGCATTACTGAAATAAATGAACTTTTGCACGATATTCTAATTTTTTGAGTTTCACCTGTAGATTGCAAGCCGACGATTACCGCAAGATGGATCGGATCTGCAGATTGGGGAGCATAATGGATCGGACTGCGATCCATTATGCTCAATCCACAGATCTGATCCATCCTGCAGGGATCGCCAGAGGGGTGACACCAAGTGTTACCGCACCGGGTGACATCAACCCTAGAGACGCCCCTGCTTATCCTTTAAAGGATACTGGCTCTCCCAATTAAAATAGCTCTTTTCTATCTCAGATTTAAACCTTGTCCTCATGTTCTGAGAGTCCAAAGCTAGTCCTACCATTTTACAGCTTTCCTTGCTCACTTTCGAGACCCAAAAAGAACACTTCAGACTTGAGGCTTTGAGGTAAATTCTGATTAGTAGGCCTGCTAGCACTGATTGATACTTTGCTGTATGTGCCATTTTCTTTGTTTAGAGTGGTTGAGAGTGATAACCTGCATTGCATGCACACACATTGTTTTATGTTGTTTACTGTGCTTGCAGCCAAGCCTATCGTAAACTACATACCAGTTCACTCTAATCTGTGTGCTAGTCTGTTTTCTGGTCATATTCTACTCTGGTCAAAAGAGTACGGTGGTGACAGCAGGGATTGGGCTTTCAGAGTGGGGTCCAGAGAGGCAGGGAGTCCGAAAATCACTCCTAAGGGGGTAGTGCTACACCAGTATAGGGTTTAGGGTCATTCTCCGACCTTCTTGCTTATTACGGTTGTATACTTTATTTTGCCACTCTTTCACATACTTGGAGTAATTACTGCTGTTTTGATTTGTTTTGGAATTGTATTATTGTGCATGTTGTTGCAATAAATATCCACTCTTCAGCCCAGGTGTGTCAGCAACCACGGTGCTGCTTGCAGAGTCATAGGCACTAGTCACAGGGGAACTGAGATAACAGTAGCTCCTTGGGGGGTAAGTGTCAGAACAGAGCAGGGAACAGGGGCACAAGTAAGAAGTCTGGCATGATCACCAGGCTGGTGCAGTAAGGCTAAAAAAAACATTTTTCAAATTAATATAATATTTAGATTTTTTGCATTTACATACTCTCTAATTCCACCTAAAAAGCACAAGTGCAAGCAGTGCTTAAAGAGACTAAATGTAATGCTTCATTGTTTCTGTAAGAGATATTCAGTAAGTATTAGGAAATAAACTTCAGGTTTATTCCAAAAAAAAAAAAGACTTTAAGCCTCCAACGCTGATATTTCTGTACTTTCTCACTTCATATATATTTAAAATGACACAGTGCTATGTTGCAGCTGCAGCAGTTATAAGTGGAATAAAACATTCATTGCTTTTATCCTGTGAGCTCCCACATCTCTTCCTTTTCCCATCCTACACTGTATGAAATAATTAAAGAATTTATTCTGGGTATCATAACAGAAAGAAGAATTCCTTTAGCAGCTCAGGGAATAATGTAAACTGGTCTCAGATGTCAGTGGCATTGGCAGTGCCTGCAGGAGCCACTATAAATACTCATATGCAGGGCGGCTTACTGGTCAGGGGATTTCACGGCTGTCAGTCTGAGGCTTGTCATATAGCTTTTCATCAGATGGGAAAAAGTACAGAGGCTCGGGAGAGTGTGCCTTGTCTTACACAGTGACGTCACAAGACAGCTCTGCAGTCAGACCCAGCCACACCAAATACAGATATTCTGCATAAAATATTGGTACCTCTGTGCTATTCAGTATGTACAGGAAGATGCTGTATGGTCTGTTTCGTTTTTAGGTACATGTGAATGATCTGCATTAACAAATGCTAGTCTGAATAGATAGGGTATGTCAGTATGTTTTTCTATTTCAATGGTTTTTATTAAATTTTTTAAACAGTATAAACAGAGGCAATAAAACATGCCCACGCAGGGGCTATCAATTGCACAGATAAACAAAATGCAAAATAAAATAAAAAAAAGGGGGAAAAACAATGCTCTAATGCCAACAGGGCAAAAGGTACGCCCACGCAGGGGCTATCAATGGTACATACAAAACATTAATGTAACTGATTAATAACAACTAAATGCATCTGTCCTAGTCACACCAAAAACAGAGAGAGAGAGAAAAAGGAAAAGAGAAAAAAAAAGAAAAAAGGGGAGGGCAAAGAGCAGGGATTCAAGAGCGCCAACACCGAACGCCATTACATCCCCAGACTAGCCGGGGAGAGTGAGGGAAGGGCATATTGCAACCACGGCTCCCATATTTTAAAAAATTTATGTTGGGAGTCATTGCGGATACTCGACATCTGTTCGTTGAGCATCATAGTGGTCATACGATCCCGCACCCCCTGAAGAGGGACAAACGGACTCTTCCAGGCCTGAGCAATTGTTCTAGTGGCGGATAAAAACAGATAGGAAGCCAACTTCTGCTGGTGAGCCAAGAGGCCCGGTATGGGGCAATGAAGCAAAGCATACCAAACATCCCGGCGTATGGAGAGATGGAACAAGGTGAAAAGGAGGCCAAATACACGAGACCAAA